GTTGCAAATAGAAGAAAGATCCACGGTCGCAGACAGTCAACTTGGAGTTGGTGCAACCAGAAGGGGAGGGCTGAGAGCTGGGGCATTGGATAAGAGGCGGAAGATACCGCCAAGTTGGAGATTCAAGTACTTTCACTCCATAGAACAAAGCTAATGTGTTGTCTTTCAGCACGTGCATGGCTAACCTGCCACAGCCCCGACCCCGTCCCTCTCATATTTGCATGATCATTTCATATTTTCCTCCGCTCTCTCCTTCTAGAAAGAGAGGTAGAACAGAGCAAACAACTTAATCGATTTGCGTTCATTTGCAATTTGTAATCGAAATGCATTGCCCCCGCCAGTTACTCCGCGCTGCATTCGTGCAACGTGTGCTGCACACATGCCGCAATTTGTTGCAACGATTAGTGGAAAAAATTGCATTTCCATGGCTTATTAATTACCCACGATAGCAGCCACCAAGTGCAGTGTTTCTGCAAGCGAATTTTGTTCATTTTCTTTTTTATTTTTCCGTCTCCAACATGATTTCCACGTACTCTCGGGGGAACGTTCTTTGCATTCACCGCTGCTGGCGGAACATTTTTTGAGTCATTTTGTTTTGTTAATTATATTGAGAAGCTTATTTATGGAAAACCACGTTTAGACTGTCACCCTTGGGGAGCCGAACATATTTTAAATAATGAACTTGATTCCTGCAAAAGAACGCAACCAATTGGGACCCCAAAGAAAAAAACTAAAACAACCGTCTACAAAAACAGGAAAGAGTTAAAAAATAACGGTCGCAAAACTAAGCAAAATCGATCAATTACCAAATAAATTATTTAATTTCAACTGGTAAATAATTATAATAATAATTTTTAGATAATAAGAACGTAATATCTAACCAATTTTCATTTAATATAATATATGTATTTCTTTAATGAATTAATTTACTTATTTGATAAGAATATTAATTCGGTTCTACTCAATAATGCTCCTCCTAACAAAGGCGTCAACTTCTTATAGTAAGTACCTTTGATATTCGAGCAAAATCTAAAGGTTAATAAAAAGAGTATCATTGAAGTCGTTAAAAACCACATGGTTTCGGTTCCTGAACCCCGAATAACCCTTGAGATGCGAAGTTAACTGTTCGCCATGGCAGAGTTCACCAGCTGCAAGAACCTAAAGATAAGCGGTACTTTTATCTCCATGGATACCGATCAGCAGGACGATGACTGACTGGACTAGTTCACCAACCTGGTCAAGGAGCGCAAGGACACGTTCTGCCAACAACTAAAGACTTTCTGCAAGGCAAACCACTTAAAGTTCTTCAAGGGCGTTTTCCGCTAGCTTTTCTGAAATCAAGCGTTCCTATTTATTTATTTTATTTATTTATTATTTGAAATCAACGCATTACTGTGCCGATTGTCCCGATTTTCGTTAATTTTCTTGTGAATTCAGATGGATTCTATGGTATTTGCTGTAATCATCAAATTTTATTTAAATGAAGGACATTACTTTAAAATATTTTATAATAGTTACTCACTTTAAATTAGTATACAAAGTGAATTATATGAAATAATTAATAAAATCAAAGTGCTTTTAAAACTGTAACTTCATAAGAAATAGTGAGTCTACGAGATGAAATCTAGGTGTTATACTATTAAATGGTGTTTTTTATGGACATTTAATAAAATATATTTAATACGCCATAGAAGATATATGTATTCATATACAGGATTAAAGGGAAATGACTTGAAATACTTTTGATAGTAACTGTTTCCCGAATAATACGAAACATAACATTAAGACTAATAAAATATAAAATTAAATAGTTAATATCTTTATCAATATGTACAGATATCTACTGCAGCAATTTATTTAATTATTGATATAAACCAACAAATTTCCCTTTACAATGTCTTTATTAATCCCTTTAAATTAAGAATATTCTGCCCAGGGACATTGTCCCTCTTTGGCAATAATCAAACATTTAGCAGTTTTAACGCCTTTTAAGCCGAATGCGGCGATAAGCAACAGCAGACACGCAATGGCAATGACCAGATCCCAGACACCGCAGTGTGTTGCATGTGGGGGAATCCCCTTTAACTGTCACGCCATTTTACCGAGGCTTAAAGGATGCTCTTTGGGTGTCAACAGCGCCAGGTCGTATCATTATCACGCACAAGCTGGGGGGAGTCACAGGAGCAGAGATGAAGGGACACAGTACAGATCATATGAGGAGCAACTGAAGTGTCTGCTGTGTGTCATTAGGCGCACATACCACCGCCCTGTCCTTGCCGCCCACTGTTTGTTGCCTCGCTTCAAGTGTCCGGTAATGAAGTCAACTGAGACAGAGGCTAAAACTGAGCCACCCTGAGCACCTGGACCTATCATTCTCACCTGAGCACCCACATACACACCTCCCCTTGCAGCAAATGAACCCAAAAACAAAAAAATATGAAGCGGACTGTATGTGGAACTTGTTTCACTTTCATTTCGTTCCTCTTGTTGCTGCCACGTGTGCCGGTTGCAACATGTTGCCAGCTCAGGCAACAGGTTTTCCAGCAACATTAGCAGCTGATTATGTTTAAATTAAAGCTTGCTACTTTCAGTTTATTTATAAATTATATTAAATAAACGTTGAAATTAATTTATAATTCCTTATTTAAATTTTGGTATTTATAATCATAATTTGGCATAGTATTTGTATATTTATTTGTAAAGAACTTGAATGTTCTATAAAAATAAGTATACATTATCTTTGCTTGGAAACCATTATAATAAAATTTCTGCGAATCCAGCGAATACTTTTTTAAGCTAAATCTTTCCCATTCCACATAAGAAATCTCATTATGTTCAACCCAATTCCGTTCTCGAGAAGGCTTTGATTACTTTATTAAAAGCGGACAAGATCTGATCCGAAAAGAATAATAATTATGGAAATTCCTTGGCGGAGTCTGTTGTTTTCCGTTTTCAGTTTACATTTACTTTATGTCGAGTCACTGGGAATGCCACCCACGGCTTGAGCACACATTCGAATATGCGAACGGGCGAGCTCGTATGGATATTGTTTGCTATATGATCGAAAGCCAAACAACTCACGATATTCTAATTAAAACACATGCAGACTTGGCTCTGGATCATGATGATGGTGATCATGATCATTTTGATGTGTGTGTGTTGCCCTTTCCCTATTGCTGATGAAATTACATGGAAGTGTGATTCAGCACATTTTCGAGAGCCGTTCAAAAGCTAATGTTTGGGATTCTTGATTTCTATACCCCGAAAAGTTTGATCCAATGAATGGGGTTCGAACTTTATTGGAGTCGTGTCTCTTTGTGTCGCGATGACAATTTCCATTAGGAAGGCAGACAGGCAGATGGATTCCCGGAGGTACCTGATGTGACAGCAAATGTGGGTTCGGCACATTCAGGAGAACAAGAGCAACGCAGTCGCAGGCGCAGTCGCGCATGCTCCGATCGATCGAGAAGCAGAACGGGAATGCGACACTCTAGACATGCCCCTCACATGTGGCTCGAATTCAGACCAAATGGAAAAACCTAAACTCGGGCGTAATAAATGAATATTGCTATAAATAGGTGAGTGAAGGCAATGGGAGCGTGATGAGCTAAAGCAATTGGGAAAAAAAACAAAATTTGGGTAAATGAAATCATAAAGAGAATTAAATATTTTATATTAATAAGAATGTATATATTTATCAGAAATTGAATTTAAAAGGTTGTTTATATGCATAGAGTGAATAAGTTTAAATATAATAAAAACGTGAGTAATTACTTGTGTCACAGTATTCCGACTTGAGAATCTTTCGTGAACTCTTAGCAACCATTTAGGTTAGGTCCAAATAATACTGTTTTCTTATATGACAAATTAAACTATATTTATATATATTATAATATAATATATTTCTATAATTTATTTTATCTGATCAATTTAATCTACAAATTCAAAAAGTAATCATCGTAACCCCTCACGAACCCATCTCTAGACAGCCTTTAAACTTGAACCTTTGTGTGTGCCCCGTTGCACATGTGTGTGGTTGCATATTGAGCACACACACTCCGCAGGAAAAGTGTGGCGTGGCTTCATTGGACTTGGATCTACCTCTCCTCCACCTCCACCTCCGCCTGAAGGTTGCATATGCCGCTCTGGAGAAAGAGCAGAGAAATTAACGCAACGCAAGCGATAACTCAAGGGCAATGAGCTGCATAATTGCGCTGAGTAATTCTTACTTTATTTCGAGGGCAATTTCTAATGGGAAACCCTCCCAGGCCAGACAGACGATCGGCATCCGTTTTAGATTAGGTAATACGTGTCTATATTTTCAGGTTCGATGTGGATTATATGTTTCTCCTGACGTCACTAACCAGCTGGCTTGTGTGGAAATCGATTGTGCAATATTTGAGTCAATATTTTTTTTGTTTATTTGAAGCCTTCTTAAACATATTCGCGTGCTTGAAAGTGATAAGAAATCGTAAGAATGGGGGATATTTCCTTTATTTATTTTCACTACAGTGACATTGATTGTCTTGTAAGGAAGAAGGTGTCTATTGAAATAAAATCTTAGCTAATATTCACTTCTACGCTTTGTTAACTGAGTCACCTTGAACTTAAACTATGAACCGCAAGTTTCAAGATATTTTTCATACATATTTATATAAGATTTCATTGAAAAGTATACATATTTCTTTCTATTTCATACTCTTTACTTTCATGGTGCATGCAACAGTGCTTTTGAAGGAAACACATTTCCTGCTTCTCATTTCAGTCGCGGCTTCATTTTAATCAAATTAATTCAACACATATCCCTATCTAACATTTTAATCATATTTTTCGCTGCCATTCAACTTCAATTCGCTTTGCCCGTCGCCAAAAAATACAAAAAAAGAAAGGAAATGAAAAATACCCAACTATATTATACCAGTAAGGAGCAGATGAAATAAATGTGAACACAGATAAATACAGGAAACTTTTATACTCATTTCGGGGCATTATATGTTTGTTTTTATATATATTTTTATTTCTTCGACTGGTCTCCTTTTTACGTTCCCTTACGTTTATTATCGCATATCAAATAAATGCGGGATTATGTGAATATTTCGCTTAATGAGAATTTCTCGGACCACACGGCAGCACACACACTGAACCCAAAAAATACAAAAAATATAAGAAAAACAACAATAATATATATAAGACCTGACATTGACCGGAGACAGAGAGTTGGGGAAGTAAAGAGAAGCGAACCTGTAAAGTCGTGGCTTTGTCTTCGCCGGCGCTCTCTGTGGGCATTAAGAGATGCCTATCGGTGACACCTGAAAGAGAAGAAGGTGAAATGCGATCCGATACGATCCATGGCAAAAAAAAGTAAAAAAGAATAAAACAACTGAAATTATTACTCCCGAAGGCAGTAGCTGGGGCACAATTTCTTCATCTTCATCTTTGGATGGTATTGAATTTCTGTCTCTGTTTCGGCTGCTGCCTGATATTTACCTGTGTTTTCGGCCTCTGCCTTACTTTATTTGTCGTCGCTTCGACATTTATCTTTTCCTTTATTGGGCTTAGGGTTTTGTTTTTTCTTTCTTCGTCGGCATATCTCTATCTCTCCTATCTGGCTTATTTTGTTAACTTCCTTTTTCCGTTGCTGTCTCGCTTTACGCTCTATATAGATGGCATTGTGCCGATATGCCAGTGTAATTTATGCTCGCTCCCATTTAAATAAATTGAAATAAAATATTCCCAAGCGAGTGGTTTTTCGTTGGGAAAGTTTGACATTGAGACGAGAGCTCACTAATTGCTCGAAAGCAGACAGTTTTCCCATCTCCCTAGTACTATATATCCCATATCCATTGCGATTTCTTCGCCTTCGACACGTTGCAGCCAGACAAAAGTTGTCAAATTAGCGCAATCATCTGGAGGGGTGCATGCAACAAAGTATGCAACATGCAACATCTCAGCCACAGCCGAACGTGATGCGGTTTCTATTTCCTGCACTTATTTTTCCCAACTTTCCGTGAGACGGCGTTTAGGGGGTTTCTTTTTTTAACGGCTTTGGGGAAGTTTGGCACCTTAATAGTTGAATATTAAACGTTTTAATGGGGAAAAGTCTCTTAATAACCTCTAAGACATTTAATTTCTATTCTAAACTACAAATAACATAATATATAGAGTATAAATAGACATATCTTTCTTCAACTAATAAATACAAACACAATTTAAAAGGCATAAAATGGAAATGATATTAACTAATAAATCGTAATAAGCATATACATTTTATTTAATTATTTCACATTAATCCCAACCTTGTAACCATTTTGTTAGTTTCTATCATTCTTTCCATGGCTTTAATAACCGTGGGAGACTGAATTAGCGCCATAATCAATCTATATTACAAATATCCGAAAAACACGAATGGATTTCATAAACCTCAAATGCTAAATACTTCCGCCTTCGGTTTAACCAACTTACACACGATGATTGATGACATTGGTCGAGGGGCAAGAGTTTGCACAGATTCTGCTCGAGATCCCCCCGCAGGGTTATGTGTGCTTATGGTGTACTCCTCCATATATGTACATATATTTCTACCAGGCTAAACATGTAATCCGCTGAGCCCGGCAATAAGCCCGTAACTGTCAACCAGTCTCTCGCAATGATGCAGCATATATATTATGTATGGGTGTGCGAGTGAAAATGTACAGTGCGTTTCGTTGTTGCAAATGTCTTGGCTAATGGTGTGGGAAAAAAGAATATATAAGCTAAAGTTAACTTAAGCTAAAAACACAGTGAAATACTTATCAAATCATAAAAAATAGTAGTTAACTTTTTTGTGTCTTATTTTGTTACATTAATTTTCAAAGCTAGGTAAATTCACAAAAATTATAATAAACGTAAGATAAATCAAATATCAACGATTGTACTATAAGTTAAAAATAAATCTTAAAGATTTAATTAGAGTATGTATATAAAATACTTATAGTGATATTTATAATTCATACTATATGATAAGGCAAAAGAAGGCATATTTACATATAATAAAGTGTGACCAAAGTCATTTAAGAAATTAAAAGGACCTTTTTATGGTGTTGCCACAGAAATCACAAAGATTTGAGATCTCTTAAAAAGGTATCTTAAAGTATGCAATATAATTTTTAAGGAGCAAACTTCAGTGTACAAAGTTCGGGCAGCTTTTAACAGCTATCTAAACAGCTCGTAATTTCTAATAATATTATATATACATATATAATTTTTAAATATTTAATATTTAAAAAATATAAACATTCCTTTTTAAAGAAACGTACTGTAAAATTACGACCAAAATGTACATCGCCAGGCATCGAATTCCGTCTGTGAACATTAATTAAAATTTCCTTCGCCTGAGCGAAAACTGCCACGAAGTGCAACATACTTATTTTTGTATGGCCTGCATTTTACAACGATTCCAGTAAGCAATTAAGAGTTGAAGAACAACAAAAAAAGTAAACAATATATTGTACAAGTAATGAAAACTGGTTATTTAATGTTGCCGGTTGCCAGGGCTTGGGATAGATGCCCGGCCTGGCCGATATTGACTTGGCTTACCTCCAAGGGCTTCGGCTTCACTCGCGACTTTGGCTTCGCAGATTTATTTTTGTTTCCGAACCTAAGCCGCTTACACGGAAAATCTTTGCGTGTTTCATTTTTGGTTTGTTTAACGTTGAGATTAACATGGAATCTGATTTGTCATAGGGGTTGACATTGCTTCAACATTTAATTACACTCGGGGGGTGAGTGGGTGGGACCTTTGGATGCTTCATTGCTCCGGGACGTAGCCTTCAACTTTGATGTCTTCGGTTATTTGATGCCAATTAACTGATGAAAGCTTAGCCCAAAAGATCCCATCGGTCAGAAAAAAAGGAGGATTGCATCAGCAACTGTCCCCGTTCCAAGGAAATAATTCCCTTGATTAAAAGGTGGTCTCCAAACGAATTAATTTGTTTTGGGAATTGATTTCCAGAATGAATTTGACTTGTGTTTATTGATACTTTCACTCAAGAATAACTAATATTTTAAGGATAATTTTAATTAAAAAGTTAATCGTTTACTGTATACATATCAATAATTATGGTTATGTTTATTAAAAGTTACTTTCCAAGAGACCTTTTAATGAAACCCGTAAATATTTTTGGGTATTTTATTGATCATTTTGCATTTTATTTACCAAATGGTTTTATATGTTTCTAAGCTCAAAGTTTGCACGAAAGATTCATTAAAAATTCTGAACTTTTCAAATCAATTCCAGACAGGTAAAAAAGCTTCTGGCATTTTCCGTGAATTGTCTGTTATTCGATGCCAATTAACTAATGAAACTGCACTATTCGGGAGTTCAGCACCGCAGACACCGCGTTCCTAGTTGGCTATTGTTATCATTTTCCACAGCGACAGTTGGTATTGTTCAAATATCGAGGGATAGGTTCGAATATGCCACAGAGCTCGGAGGGAAATGGACAAAAGGCGAGCTCGAACAGACGGCCATCAATCAGTTGGAGAGCAGGGGACTCCCCGAATGAAAACCTTTGCCAGGCAAAACCGAAAATGATTTACATGTGAGAGCGCGTGTCTTTTGTTTAATTGTTGCCTGCCCACACATCATTACAACACACACACATCCCTGTGTATCGGTTTACTTTTCAAAGATAATTGATTAATGTCCGTTCGCCTTCGGTTGGGTAAACGGTTTTCGGTTTTAATTATACGTTAGCAGCCATCGACAGTGGCCCATAAATCATAATCCATCAAAGATTTTGCTCAGCTCAATCTCTAAAACAAAAAATTCAAATCGCGATCGAAACTAAGCCTCTTCCGCCGCCTCCTCCATAAATAAGGAGCGGAAGTAAATACTTTGAAAGAAAAAAAACAATAAGAAATTTCTGCTGATGCTGAAAAGCCTTTCTCATAAATTTCCAAGTGCTGGGCTTACAGTTCTACCCCACTGACATACAAAGGAAAAAAATAAGTAAAATGCACACACACTCCCTGCAAAAGGGGCCGGAAAAGGGGGCGGGGTGTGGGCGTGGTTGGCGGACCGCCCGCTATTCGGTTGACTCAAAAATCGTAGCCCTCGGTTCCTGTTTACCGTTGATTACAATCACTTCAGAGCTGCGGAGAGCCGTTTGGGGGTGTGCAATTGCAATGCTTAACCCATAGGCTGTACCAAGAGGAATGTGCTTACAAATTTATTTACTTAAAAAGAAAATAATTTTAACCTTTTTATATACAGTGAAGAAAATAGTTTAATATTCAAAGGGTTTGTTTTTGTTTATTTATTTATTTATTACCCAAGCCATAAATAATTGTGAAAACTTAATATTTCACGTTGTCAAGCATTTCTGCTTAAAATTGTAATGTATTTATATATTTTTTGTTGTATTTTTTTTACAAATTCGATTGTTCCTTTTAATATCTCACAAAGAATTTGTCAAAAAAACATATTTATTAACTAAAAGTAAAATGCAATTACAATTTTGATTATAAATCTTGTTTTTAAAAACTAATACCATTTTTAAAATTGTTATAGCTAAACCATTTATTTCTTTATATAAATATATATATATATGGTTTATAAAACTTGCTTCCCTTTTATTTCATAATACATAATTCAATATATAATTTATGGAATTGGAAAACATACAACATTTAGATTTGATGGACTTAGTCCACTGGTCCACCTAAGGGTTAACGTTCATAAAGCCCTTGCAATTTTGTATCTGTGTGCGCGATTCAGTGAATCTATGTGTGAGTGTGTGTGCATGAGACCTAACATTTACGCACTCAGCGAATTGAACTGTGTTTACAATTTTTCTATTGATGTTGCTGCCTTTACTGGCGTTGTTTTACGACTACAGCAAAAAGGCCGGACCGTTAATTCGATTCAATTTTGGAAAATGTTTGGATAGCCAACAACAATGGGGAGCGAATGCGAACATGCAGCTGGGAAATGCAAAGCGAGATTGAAACGGGGAGCAAGCAGCTCATTTGTCAGACTCCGAATCAGAGCGAGACTCCTCGGAGGCATTTGTCTTATTTTGCGAGTGATCCGCGCAACAGCAACATGTACTGTATGTGGCAGCACCAGGCAGCATCAACAACAGGCAGCGGCAACAACGTCAGCAAATCGCATTAAGGACTCTTAATGAAAGTTGCCGCATCCTTGCGATGGCAGACACATCGTTTGTACGATGATTGATTTCACGCCAAAACGATTTCAATCAGCATTTCCGTTCCAACTTTTTTCTTCTTTCCCTTCGCTTCCTTCCTTTCAGGGAGGAACAACTTATTGCATTATGTGAATGGGGGTTACGTTGAACGTAAAGGGATTGGATTGGGTTCGATTTTGGATGACGGGATGACGATGAGTGCGTCTTGAATAAGTTCAGGCAGGCAATCAGTTTCGATGGTTCAAACTGGGTCAGGATAAGAGTTGACTTTTATAGGGGTTTCATTTTAGAGGAAATGAAAGTGTGAAATTATGATGGTCGATCCTGGGATCGGTTAAGATCTTACATCCTGGAAGGTATTATAATTATTTGTTTATTTAGTACTTGAAACAAATGACATATTTTTACATATTATAACTGAAGAAATTAGTTCAATTAAGATACTAATAACTACAGTTAAAATTGCAATTCCCTCAAGACATCAAGATAGTTTAAAGCAATGATATGCATTATGCTATTTCACGGTATTGAAAATATCTCTGCAATCAATGGCTTAAAGTAATGTTAATTTCATAA